GCCCGGGGGGGGAAGCTGCCCCGCCAGCCGCTGTCCCGCCTGCTTTGGTAATAACGTCGGATGAGTTTTGCCCAGTCACTGAAGAGGTAGCTAATGCTCAGTCCATCGGTTATTCAGTCTCAAAGAAAAAACGTCCATTCTGCCCTCTCAGCCCTTGCCGCCTCCAGAGGGCAGAGTATTTCCCCCCTTCGTTTTTAAAAAAATCAAGATTTAACGTGATTTTAGAATTCAAGAATATCACACTTTGACCTCCCTCCTCACCTGTCCACCTCCCAATGACTCCAGAATTAGCCCCACACAATTAATTTTTAGGTTATTTCCACAAAAGTACAGTGGCAGCTATCATAAATCTTGCCCAAAAGATTTATGAGAGGGAGAAAAAGACTGACACTTCAATTTTATCAGTTGCTAACTTGCAAAACGTATCTTCTGAAAGAAAAATAAATTAAGGAAAGAATCATCCCTGATCTTTACAGGAGGCAGTGGAGCTGCATCAAATGCTGCAGGAACACATGCTACACAAGCTACCACTGCTCAGAAAAGTGGTGAGCCTAAACCTCTGGTAAACCTAAGAGTTCTAAGATTTTCTCCTATATATAAAAAAAAAACTAAAATGCCAACATAAAAAAATCCTAATATATTCAAGGAGTTATTAAAATATTTTTGTAATAGACTTCAGTTATTTTTAGGATATGCAGGAAGTTGTACAGCACATTAAGTTGTGAGACTATCCACTTACCAGCAAATAGTATTCTACACATGAACACACAGATTATAACTGCCATAGTCCTCATCTGCATATGCAGCACCAGTAGCAACAACCAATGGATCTAGTCTTCCACTAATCAGAACATTGCAATGAAGACAACATTTTACATACATGGACAATTAAGTTAATCTTATTCTATAATTGAGCTGCCTGTATATATTTCATTTATAGTAATTCTCACTCCATTTTAACCTGTAACTCAGAGAAGAAGCATTAGCCAGATTTTTCTTTTCTCATACCTCTTCTACACTCTTCACTTGTCTGTTCCATATGGGGGCAAATCTTGGATGAAGTCCACCAGCAGGGCACTCGCACCGTGCCATCAGCACACTGCTGTCTCAGAGCTTCAGTGTTCCTGGAGCTGTCTCCTGCATACATCTGCACCCTTTTGCCAGGCCAAAAGCACAGACATCAGTCAGAAGTCACTTTTCATCCAACAGATGTATCCATTTTCATTGAAGAAGCAGTCTTCTGCATTTCTGCTTTCTCCTGTTTACTCCTGCCGTGGTCTCACCAGTGACCACCAGCAGCCTTTAAGGGAACAGCCAGCAGACTCGGCCTTCTCACACGTCGACATCACCACAGCACAGGGTGGACTGAAAACCTATATATCTTGACCAAATAATTTTTCTGTTTCTTAGGAGACTCCTTGTCTCTCCGTATCAGCTTCAGGTCACTCACAGCTACTTCAACAAGCTGTATCCTCTTTGCAGTAACATTACAGCTTCATAATTCTTCAGAAAAAAACCTTTCTAGATAGACAAAGCTTTCAATACTGTCCATTTTGCTGCCACTTCTTCTAGCATTTGTACATTATTCCTTTTCTGGCAGAAGACCATTTTATTTATCATGTCCACATTCATATCCAGTTAAAGTGTTCACTAGTCCCCTACAGTATGCTGACCTGGCTCTGCAAGTTCTCATTCCCCATGTCCATCTTCATTTTGACATTAGTGCTATAACTTATTTCCGTACAGTGAATAATATATTATCAAATTATTTGAGTATTATCAAATTCTGAACAATGCAGAAGATTGTGCCTGAAGACAAAATGCAAGTGTCAGATGTGACTGTCATGGTCAGTTATAGCTCAGAACAATTCTGGAAGCAGGTGGCTTTGAGACAAAAAACAGTTTTTCTTCCCATGCAAACCTATTTTTTGTCCCAGGAACCTGAACAATAATTTTTAAAAGTTTCAAATAGTTAGATTTTAGGCCTAAGTATATTTGATGCTACTTGAAAGATGTAATGCCCTGATTCCATTTCCATTGCTTGCTTCATAGCTGTTCATGTAACAGTTCATATAACAGTCAAGTACAGTAGTTCAAGAACTCAATTTCAAAAACTGATTCACAGAATCACCTTCCTTTTCTACTTGAAAGTATGTGGATTTCTGAAAACGTTCTGCAACATCAACGCTTTGTGTCATCCATCAGTGTCACGTCTGCGTGAGGAAATCCTGGCTTCTACACACACATATCTGAAGATCAAGACCAACTTTTGATAATTACATACAAAACTTTTTTTTTGCTCTAACACACCTTTGGTCATACCTGTTTAGCATTTTAAACCATACAATAGCAGCCTTTCACCCCATCCTCTCATTCAAACACACAAACAGTACTACTTCTAGGTAGGAAGCGAAATCTCATCCTCATGGCAAACCTTGTGGAAAAGAGCTGCCTTGGAAGAAATACTTATTCCAAATACAAACAGCAGTTCTCTACTGAGGATCAGCTATTTGATTATTGGTCTATGCTACACTTCAATGTAAGTAAGAGTGCTCTTCTACTGGGAATGGTGTTCCTCAGATCAACTAGTTTCTTTCAGCCTCATTGGGATGTGGATAATTCCATGGCACTTTTGAGAAGCAATGTGGAATAATCCCAGCATCCCAATTCACGTGCCATTCCCGCTACATCAGATGGTTAAGGCGGTATATGAGGTATTGCTGAGTACAGTCAATAGCTGACAGATCAACCTATGGAAATTGTGCTACCTATACCTCATCCTAGGCTCTGTGAAGCACTAATGGTCGTGCACCATGCAGGTCACTTAAAAAAAAAATTATCTGAATGTCCAAGAAATAAAAAAAACATTATATTGTTAATGTTCTTACAGCAGGCATTTTTGTTTCAAGTTAACTGACATGAGGGCCTTATTAGGTATCCAGGAGAAATGTAGAACTAAGGGTGGTGGAAAAAAAAAAATAAAATCCAGCAAAGCGTGGAGTTGTTATACATTGCAGCTTTTAAAACAGAATCTTTCACAGTGTTAAAAAGCAGTCTTTCTCCACTCCAGCTTTGCTCTAAAACCAACAACTGTTGTGCCTTATGTGATGCAAAATGTCTGGAAGATGGGTGAGAACACTGTAGTATTGAAGTGTTTAGCTTCTCTTTGTACATGTACTGGCTAAGAACCCTTTAAAAATCTCCTAAGTATGTCACCAACTTGATCTCCTTCTACCCCCAGGTGTCCTGCTTAGTAGATGAGGGTGTTGTCTGCTGGGACTTTAGTAAAGCCTTAGACACTCTCTCCCACAGCATTCTCCTGGAGAAGCTGGTGGCTTGTGGTATAGACAGGTGCACTCTTTGCTCAGTAAATAACTGGCTGATGGCTGAGCCCAGAGTTGTGGTGAACAGTCAAATCCAGTTGGTGCTTCCCAAGGCTCACTTCTGGGGCCAGTCTTGTTTAATATCTTTATCAGTGACCCAGATGAGGGGATGGAGTGGCACCCTCGAGTCATTTTGCAGATGATACTAAGTTGGGCAGGAGTGTTGATCTGCCTGAGGGTAGGAAAGCTCCGAAGAGGGACCTGGACAGGCTGGTTCAATAGGCTGAGGCCAATTGTATGAGGTTTATTGAGGCCAAGTCCTGCACTTGGGTCACAACAAGGAGGACACTGAGATGCAGAAGCAAGTCCAAAGAAGGGCAACAGAGCTGGTGAAGTGTATGAAGCACAAGTATTATGAGGAGCAGCTGAGGGAACTGGGATTGCTTAATCTGAAGGAGGCTGAGGGGAGACTTATCTCTCTCCATAACTCCCTGAAAGGAGGTTGTAGTGAGGCTGGTGTTGTTCTCTTCTCCCAAGTAATCAGTGATAGGAAATGGCCTCAAGTTGCTCCAGGGGAGGTTCAGATTGGGTATTAGGAAAAATTTCTTCACTGAAAGAGTGGTCAAACATTGGAACAGACTGCCCAGGGAAGTGGTGGAGTCACCATCCCTGGAGGTGTTAAAAAAAAAATTTGTACACATGGCACTTCAGGACATGGTTTAGTTGTTGGCATGGTGGTGTAGGATTGATGGTTGGGCTTGATGATCTTAGAGGTCTTTTCCAACCTTAATGAGTCCATAAGAAGTAGGTCATACCTGCACTCCAGGTACCGGCCTCTCACATTCCAGAGCTGCACTTCACTCTCATTTTGAATGGTTCTATGCACTGATCAGCTAACCCTGCCAAATCATCTAGGGTTTTATCTTTTCATAATGCAGGCCAAGGTTAAAAACCCTGAGAGCTTTTAAGGTAGTGTTGACTGGCAGCAGAAGGTTCTTGAAGTAGTTTAGAAAGGGCAAAAAAGTGACACAAAAATACTTCCATTTCACCTGTAGGGGTCTTGGGGTAAGATCAGAGAAAGATATTTTTAAGAGGTAAGTTTAAATTTAACTGTATGGAGTGCTTTCAGTCATCCATCATTTAAAAAAGAAAAACAACAACCAAAAATAATCAGGTTCTCTCACAGACTTGTCCTCTTTGCTCTTTCCTCCATCTGCCCGGACAGAGAGGCCTCTAACTGTACAGCAGATGGTTTACTTGCAGCTCACAGCAACAGTCTTTCAAAAGGTGTTAGTCTTGAGTCTCCTAATCAGAGAGAAATGAAACAATTAACCCCATAATCCACACTAGAGACACAGACAGAAACCTGAAGGAAGATTCAGCTATTCACAGAAAGTATCAAGTAAGACTAAGAGCGATGGCTGAAGACCTGCCAGGCTTTGCGATCCAACCCGCCATCCATCCATCCATCCGTCCGTCCAGCCGGAGCCTTTCAGGGCACACCACTAGTTTAGGTAAGAGCCCAAACCAACTGTCTGCTCCTCTTGGTCACAATCCCTACAGGGGGTTGTTTCTAGTTGCTCAGTTGACGCAGGTGCTATCATTTCTTAAACTAAGCACAGCCTGGGGCAGCTTTCCTGCATCCAGTACCTGGCCTGCCTCAGCCTGCTGACAGACCTTACTGTCTGTGGCAGTGCTACATGTGAATGTATCAAAGTCCACCGTTATGTCTTGAACGTTTCTTTCATTGGCATTGTCAAAGCTATTTTTACCATGTAGCTGCTTAAGATGTTTCCTCAGAACGGGTTTATGCGCAAAAACCATGTCACAGTAGTTACACTTATGGGGCTTGTCCCCACTGTGCAGGTTGAGGTGGTCCTGTAAGGAACACTTCTGAGAGAATGTTTTCCCACAGATCTTACATTGGAACGGCTTGATGCCTGCGTGCACTCTCATGTGCCGATGGAGGTTGCCTTTCTGAGTGAATGTCTTGCCACAGAGAAGACACATAAATAGTTTATGCATCTTTAAGTGATTAGCATAGTTTTCCAGATGCCGAAATACTCTTGTGCACTTTGGACACTGATGATGCCACTGAAGGCCTTTTTCTGTACCTCGGTTGTTTGACCCCAACATATCTTTAGAGGCCAGAATGATGTTATCACTGCCAGCATAGGAAAGGGCATAGCTGTGGACGTGGTTTTGTTCAATTTCACTTGCTCTGTTTTCGACAGTGGAGTTGATAAGAAAGTGTTGAGGCTCTGAGGAATGCAGTGCAGTTTGTTCAGAAGAAATAAACTGGTTCTGATCCTTCTTATTTCTAACTTCTGTTACCTCCCCGATGGACTCCACCTTGATGATCTGAATGTCACTGTCCTCCATGTCCATACTGTCCTCTGAAGGCTGAATACAAGGTGAATCTTGCTGCAGAGAGTCGCTGTCTCCTTGGTGTTCCTTTGGCTCGGAGGAGTCACTTTGCTGCTCACACTCCTTGCTCTCCAGAGGCTGCTTTGGTTTGATGAACTTGCAGAGGGCCTGCGTGCACCGCTCCACAATGTGGCTCATCTGCAGGAAGCTTGCAGCAGTCAAGTAGTTTACCAGTTCCATCTCAGGAAACTCCAGAATGCCGCTGTAGCAGGACAAAAGCAGCTGCCTCCCCACCTCCGAACTCTGCAGGATAGAGATTTTTACGTCTCTAGAGTCGTTCAGTAAGAACTGATCTCTTAGAAAAGGAGAGCCAGCAGCAAAGACAATTTTATGCCCATGGACTTCAATGTCATCTATATGGACCACGACATCACAAAACCTGTTTTCTTCCCTCAGTTCGTTCATTTTCTGTAACATGGAATCTCCATAATTGTCAAACTTGAAGTGAAGAATATCTGACCTTTCTGACATTTTGGCACACCTAAGGAAAAGAGCAAGAAAAAAACCACAAGTGAGAACGTTTTTGTTTTGTGTAATGCAAGTTAGAAGCTTCTAAAGCAGTAGCATAATGTGGGCATTTAATCAGATTCTATGTTTTATCCTAGATAAATAGAAGTCTTTTACAAATTAAAACTAACAACAAAACAAGTTGACACCTCCCCTTATGGTATCTTTAACTTTTTATAAGTTAATGCAGCTTGAATATAAAGGAGAGGTGGTATGACAGAAATTCTCCTGAAGAAATATCCTAAAGAGATAAGATATCTTCCATACTACTTATCTGGAATTTAAAGGGAAACCACTGCAGTATTTTTAGCAGCCTTAGCTCTTGTTGCACTTTGCTTCCACATTAAAACCCCGCAGAGATTTTGTCTTTACCAAGTAACAGTGAAGTTCCTATAGCTTCTGCTTCTCAATTTCCCTTAATGCCCAAATAGCTTTCACAACAAATGAATTCAAGATGAGACAGAACCTGGCACTAGCCAGACATACAAACATCCCCCTCAACCATCTGCATCAATCATATACTGCTCATAAGTTACAGTCTAAGAACAGTGGCTACAGTTCCTCTAGGACACTCCACAAGTTGCAGGAATATTGATACAGCACAAGTTGTCTCATTAACAGGAGCTTGAATTTAGTCTTTTAGCAGGAAGGACTGGGCAAGCTCTGCCATATCTGCAGCACTGGGTTTAATGCATCATTTTACACTGTCCTTCAAGTTGTTTTTCCAGAGGTTGGTTTGCTGTTTGTTTGGTTTCTTTAAAGATCATAGAAAAAAAAAAATCCTCCTTTTGGCCCTTCATTATATAAATTGTGCCTTCCAGGCTCCCTGTTTGAAGGCCTTGGGAATGTAAGAAGTCTAGTTTCTTGTTGTCTTCTTTGGAAGATCACTCCTCTAGGAAGTTTGTTCTTGCTTCATGGTATTTGGAAGTAATAACCGTGGATCCTCCATAACACAAGGCTCGATCTTTTGTTTTTCTACAGTTCTTTTAAGAGTTTATGACTATAGAGATTTGCAATGAAACGCTGCTCATGCAATCCTGCCAGAGGACTGGGGTTGCAGGAAGTGAAGAAATCACAAGAGACTGAACAATGCAAGATTTGCTGAGATTAAAATAACAAAACAAAACTTGCACCTCACAGCTCTTACAAACATTACATAAAGCTTGGAAAGGAGCTTTGAAGTTTATAGATCAAAGCAATACTGTTCTCCTGGGGCATGAAACATCAGCCCAGGACACACAGCAGGAAGGGGAGTCAAGCCTGGTGCAAATGAATGAATACACAAGACAAGGACTCAGATTTTCAGAAGGATCTGCTGAAAGTCAGGATTGTTTCAATCTGCTGATCAGACACTATTTGTATACCTGACCTCCTCACGGCTCAAGACCAACATTTATACATTTATGTGTAAGGCAGAAGAAAGGACAGGACTTCAGAAGCCTTTAGAAACAAGGGACTATGGAAAATTTGGGAACAGAGGTAGCATCATTCTGCAGTACAAGTTCTGCTAAATCTACAGAAAATGAAGCTGCCAGTCTCTCAGCCATCCCGTCTTCCGTGTTGTTTGACTCATGGCAATTTCTAGGGCAAAAAGTCGACTTCTGAGGCAACAGCCTTTGTCAAATATAAACGGTAGCATCAGGTTATCATCAAGTATCTTCAATTAATTTCAGGCACGTCAAACTGTTTCCTTTTACATTTTCTCTTAGAAGTGATGAAGGAAATCTACTTGTCAGCCCGTTTTCTCCACCGTGGGACACGACAGAATCAGCGCCGGTGCCACCGAGGGGAGCGCGGAGCCTGACACCGCCCCGGGAGCTGCAAGTCATTTCAGGCACGTCAAACTGTTTCCTTTTACATTTTCTCTTAGAAGTGATGAAGGAAATCTACTTGTCAGCCCGTTTTCTCCACCGTGGGACACGACAGAATCAGCGCCGGTGCCACCGAGGGGAGCGCGGAGCCTGACACCGCCCCGGGAGCTGCAAGTCACCTCACGGCAAACCCCAAACACCGAACAAGCGACTTCCCGGGAAACGCGTTCAGTTTCCACTACTGCCGATCTCCAAGGAAAAGCAGCCAACACAGGAACGGCCAAGCCTTTCTCGGCAGGGCGGAGCACCAGCCCCCGC